GCCCGACCATCTTCACTTCTGGAAAATTCTTCGCTGTTACCTTTTTAAATACCACCTTTCCCAGGTCTCTGGTATCTCCTTGACCTTCTGTTGGTCTGGTCCGGGCGTTCCTTCACAGTCCCTGAATTCCCATCTCTGTGTCTGCAGGTCCTGCCTTCCCTGGCTCCTCAGTTCCTGGGGCCCAGGACGTCAGAAAGTGCAGGTCACTTAGTCCTTAGCCTCAGTTTCCCAGGAAGAAAAGGAGTTGGTTTGTTGGTTGGCGTGTTAGTTTAAGTGTTAAGTATGTTCATGTTGTTGAGAAACGAACCTCCAGAATGCCCTCATTTAGTGAAACGGAAGCCCTGGCCCATTGAAGGACTCCCTCCCCTCTCCCCAGCCCCCGGCCCTGCATTCTGCTCTTGATGTCTATGAATCAATCTGGTGACTCTAGGGACCGCATGTGAGTGGACTCAGACAGGATTTGTCCTTTTGCAACCGGCTCCTGTCACTCAGGATGATGTGTTTTTAACGTGTTCATCCACGTTCTGGTATGCATCCGAATTTCCTCCCCTTTTAAGGCTGAATAACATTCCATGGTGTGCATAGAACACATTTTGTCTGTACATCATCTGTTTTTTGATGGGTTTTGTTGTTTTTGTTTTTTCTGAGACAGGGTCTTACTCTGTCACCCAGGCTGGAATGCAGTGGTATGACCTCAGGTGACTGCCTTAACCTCCTGGGCTCAAGTGATCCTCCCCCTTCAGCCTCCCAAGTAGCTGGGACTACAGGCACATGCCACAACACCCAGCTAACTTTAATTTTTTTTTTTTTTTTTTGTAGAGGCAGGGCCTCCCTATGTTGCCCAGGCTGACCTCAGACTCCTGGGCTCAAGCAGTCCTCCTGCCTCGACCTCCCCAAGTACCAGGATTACAGGTGTGAGCCACCACACCTGTAAAAAGCCTGGCTTTTTCATCCTCTGTTGATAGACACTTGGGTTGTGTCTACCGCTTGGCTGTTGTGAATAACCCTGTGCACATGAGTGTGCAAATCCCTCTTCAATCCTTCCTTTCAGTTCCTTTGGGTGTGTACCCGGAAGTGGGGTTCTGGGTCACATGGAAGTTCTGTCTTTAATTTTTTAAAGACCCGCTATACTGTTTTCCACAGCCCTTGCCCTGTTTTTCACTCCCACCAGCAGAGCACAAGGGCCCAGTTCCCCACATGCTCCCCAGCACTCATGACTTTCTTTTACCTGTTTGTGTGGTGGTAACCCTCATGGGCATAAAGTGATGGCTCCCTGTGATTTGGGTTTGCCTGCCTCTGGTGGGCAGTGGTGTGGGCATCTTTTCCTCAGCTTCTTGGCCATTTGCATTTGTTTCTGAGAATTGCCCATTCAAGTCCTTTGCCCATTTTTTTTTTCTTTTTTTTTAAGACAGTCTTGCTCTGTCGCCCAGGCTGGAGTGTAACGGTGCATTCTTGGCTCACTGCAGCCTCTGCCTCCTGGGTTCAAGTGATTCTCCTGCCTCAGCCTCCCGAGTAGCTGGGACTACAGGTGCCCACCACTGTGCCCAACTTTTTTTTTTTTTTTAGTGGAAATAGGTGTTTATTATGTTGGCCAGGATGGTCTTGAACTCCTGACCTCAGGTGGTCCTCCTGCCTTGGTCTCCCAGAATACCAAGATTACAGGTGTAAGCCACCACACCCGGCCCCTTTGCCCATTTTTAATGGTGGTATTTGACTTTTTATTGTTACGTTGTAAGCGTTCTTTATTCTGTCTGGGTAGAAGGCCCTTATCATATGTAAGATTTGCAAATATTCTCTCCATTACTTGAGGAGGCCAAGGCAGGAGCATTGCCTTTTCACTATTAGTGTCCTTTGTTGCACAAACGTGCTCGTGATTAATGTGCTTCCATCTGGGTTTTGCTTCTGTGACCTGTGCTTTCGGCGTTCTGTCCAGGAAACCTTGCCTTTCCAAATCCTCGTACTTTCTTCTAGAGTATAGAAGACAGTACTTTCTTCTGCAGCTATAGATCGTACCCTCAGGTCTTTGTTCCATGTCTCGTTAGTTTTTGGACACGATGTAAGGTAAGCGGCCAGCTTCCCTCTTCTGCACGTGGCTACCGAATCTTCCCAGCACCACGTGTTGGAAACGGTTTCCGCGTGAGTGGTCCCAGCGCCCTCGAGATCACGTGACCGCATACGTGAGGGTCATTTGACTTCATTTCCTGCAACTTTGCTGACTTCAATAGTTTGAGCCGATTTTTTTGCATGGAATTTTCAGGATGTGGAAAGTTTTTAAACAAAACCTGACCTAAGGCCCTTCCTGTTGATCTTCTACAATTCTGTGACTCCATCCACAGCCGGGAGTTTCATCTTGCATCTGGGGCTTTCACAGCCCACCGGAGCCAGAGTGGCCAAAGGCCACATGACGAGCCCTGTGCTTCCGTCTGTGTGGTGCACACGCACAATCCCTGGCTGACTGGTCAGAGGATGGCACTGAGACCAAGTGTGCTGACCCCCGTGGGCACTGGGAGATGCCATTCCCACCCAAGCCTGGCTGACTGGACGTCCGTGTTCTGGATGTCCTCACTCATCCTGTCGCTCTCCTTATGGGTCCCCACTTGGAGAAACTGAGGACTGGCCCTGCTCCACTGCCTCAGTGGAGGAAAACGGGAGATGCCTCAGCAACCAGTGATTCTGTGGACTTAGAGGGGCCCCTGGGTTTGCCCAGACCCCCGTCGCTTTGCCGGGAAGCAGGTGTGGTCCCCGTTTTCCTCCTTTGTTCAGGGACTGTTTCTTGGGCCGGACTGTGCACGGGGCACGGGGAAGACCCAGACCCAGCTGACTGCGTCCTCACTGAGCTGCTGGAGCCGGGAAGGATGGGACTGCTTCCTCCCTTCCACCCGTAAACACCGACCCTGTCACTGAGCTGGGTGACAGGTATTTGTCTGAACAGGGATCCGCAGTTGGAGGGCAGCAGATAGGTGCACTTTAAAAATCATTTTTGCCGTTTGAAAATGAGATTGGCTTTGAGCCCCGAGCTCCTCCATAGGCTTGTCTAAAATTAGAACCCCACTGGCAAGGCAATCTTTGTCAGGGGCCTACGGCTTGCACCAGGGAAGCAGGGAAATGTCAGCAGTACTTTTGCTGTGTCAATTTTGAGTTTTTTAAGAGGCCTGGGCAAATGAGAACTTAGAGCAAATTTGCGCGGTTTCCAAAGCTTTAAGAGTCTAGCCCCTTGGCGGCCATGTGATTAAAGTGTCAGGTTTATAAGGAGCTGCTCCTGCGGTTGGGAGAGCGGCCTCTGCCCTCCTTCCTACAGGCGCATCCCAGTAGGAGCTGGACAGGGCGGGCCTGTCTGCTGTCTGGGGTCCTGCAATCTGCTGAGCTCGCCCTATTCCTTTTGTGAGCTCTGTGGTCCCAGGGCTGAGCACTCAGGCCTTCCCTTGGGAGCCAGTGGGTTCAGGCATTTGCCTGAAGATGAGGACGCAGACTCCAGATGCTGGGTGAGGACATGGCACACACCCGAACCAAGTGTGCCAGGAAAATCACGTCTCCTGCACAAAGAGCACCCCCCCCCTCCACGATCCTGTGGCCTCCATGTGGCCGAGTGCTAGCCCCGTGTGCAGGTGTGAGGGACATACCCTCCTAAGGACACCTGCTGTCCTCCACAGAGCCTCGTGTGCCCAGGCCCGCTCAGTGCCTCTGGGAGCCTCTGTGTCTGCTCAGCCCGCAGATTTTATGGACAGCATTTCCACCATTGCATGGGCCGTGGAGGGATGAGATGAAACGGCCCATGAGCATGTGATAATCAGCACTCATTTCCGCAGGGTCTGGGGTCACTGTGTCTTTCACAGTCAGATATCCACAGCCCCACAGGACTTTCTCTCCTGCCTTCCACGACATCTGCTGCGCGGTGCTGAGCCTTTCACCCTCACCTGGAAGGCCCATCCCACTCTGCCTACTGGCCTGCTCTGGCGTCCCGGGGAGGGGGTCTTGCTTTCCAGCACCTTCCCCACCCAGAACATGGTTGTGCTTACAGTCAAGCCAATTCCTGACGGGCAGAGGCTATGGCTATCTTCAGAGTCCTGTGCCAGGCCGGGGCTGACTGTATGGTGGTGATGGGCTCCTCGGACAACGAGCTTGGCGCCTGGCTGTCCCCTTCCCTGATGCCTCTGTCCCCACCTAGCGCAGCCAGGGTGATGTCCCCTGCACCATGCTGCTGCCTGCCCCCTGCTCCTCGCAGACCTGTCTCAGAGCTTCTGAAACTGATAAAGCCGGGCTTCCAACCCTGTCTTACAGACAAGGAACGGGGCCATAAGGAGGGTGAGACACCGGCCCCAGGTCCCTGCTGTGGACTAAATGGTGAGCCCCAAAACATGGGTCTATATCCTAACTCGCCAGAACCCGTGAATGTGGCCTTATTTGGAAATGGGACCTCTGCAGGTGTAGTTAACGTCAGGGTCTCCAGATGAGAGACAGGGAGGGTCCTAAATCCAGTGACAAGTGTACTTAGAAGACCTAGAGACACAGAGGGAAGGCTGTGAGGGCTGAGGCAGAGACAGCAGCGGTGCACCACAGGCCGAGGACACCTGGAGGGCCCGGGAAGTGGAAGGGTCCTCTCCAGCACCTGCAGATGCAGCGGGGCTCGCCCGCACGGTGATTTTGGATTTTGAGCCTCCGGAACTGAGAGTTTCCTGCTATCGTTTTCAGCCACCAGCTGTGGTCATAGGCTGTGACAGACAGGAGGCTAACCCAGTCCCGTGGAAGAGCTGAGGTCTGCAGACAGCAAACCTGCCATCTCCCACTCCCAAAGGCGACCCCTTCCTTCTCCTTAAAGAATTCCAAAGCAGCTGGAGGGAGCTCTCCTTGGAAGACCCCATTTCTTGGTGGCAGTCCAGCTGCGACCCCAGGCCAGCTGATAGTCACGGTGAAGCAGGAGCTGTCCACCAGGAGGCGGCGGCCAGGGCCTGGCCCTCAACCATCCTGCCTGGCCATATCTAAGCCACGACCTTGTCCCCCAGGTCCGGGCCATGCGGCTGTCCTTTGTCGGGGAGCTGGGCTGGGAGCTTCACATTCCGAAGGCGTCCTGTGTGCCTGTGTACCGGGCTGTGATGGCTGCCGGTGCCAAGCATGGCCTCATCAATGCAGGGTACCGTGCCATCGACTCCCTGAGCATCGAGAAAGGTGAGTGCAGGGTCTGGACAGCCCAGGGAGGTGGGCGGGGGTGACGCTCAAGACACCTGGAGGCCAAGAAGCTGTGTGCCTTCCCTATGTTGTCACCTGGCTTTTTTCTTCCCACACTGTGACTTCCTCCCCACTACCCCAGCACCTGGCAGCTTCCATTTCCCAAACCCTCTTGCTTCCCAGGGTCTTCACACAGGGCCCCAGGGATGGTGTTGGGATCAGTGACATCTGCACATACCTGGACTCGGAGCTGAGGCACTGCCTGGCACCTGGGGGGCAGGGCCAGGCTGGGTAGGAATTGGGCGCCTTGGTTTTCCTGAGAGCTGTGAAGAATGGCCCAGGGCAGCAGGTGCTATGGCCTCTGGAGGAAGCCCAGACTCTTGCCCAGGGCGAGGATGGAGGCTCAGAGTGGGCATCAGGCAGCTCCCCTGGGTGTTGGACACCCAGCTTGGGCGTCAGGCAGCTCCCCCTTCATGAGCCCCTCCCTGATACCCCCACCTGAGGGTGCAGAGGGCTGCAATGCTGACGGGCAGTCTGCTGGGGGGCTTGCCCCAGGGAACCTTCTGGCATTGGGGCTGCCCCTGCCTCCTCCTGGGTTGCCCGGGTGGCTAAGCAGCTCTGAGGGTGTAGGTGGGGGGCTGCAGGGTGGGCTTGGGCAGCATCCTCATGCACCTCCTAAAGGGCTTATCCCGCTCAAGGTGGCACCGACCCCATGGTTTCCCTTCCCGCAGGCTACCGGCACTGGCACGCGGACCTGAGGCCGGACGACAGCCCCCTGGAGGCAGGCCTGGCCTTCACCTGCAGGCTGAAGTCGCCCGTGCCCTTCCTGGGACGGGAGGCACTGGAGCAGCAGCGGGCCGCGGGCCTCCGCCGACGCCTGGTGTGCTTCACCGTGGAGGAGTGAGTGCCCCGCTGCCCCATGCCTGCCCGGAAGCAACTGCCCATAGCCAGGGCAGGCAGGCGCTGCTCGGTCCCCCAGTCTAAGGCCCCTGGTACTGACGCTTCCCATGTGTCAGCCATGCTCTTCCAGAACGCACCTGACAGCCCAGTGCAGACAAGAAAATCAAGGCCAAAGAGAGAGGCCATCTTGCCAGCCGCTCTCATGCTGTTAAAGGCAGACCTGAGCTGACCCTGGGCGCTGGACAGGCTGTCGCGTAAGAGGCAGAGCCCAACAGGCACCCAGGGAGAAGCATAAAATTGCACGTGGTGGGGACCCCTCCCAGGCCATCAGGGCGTGTGGGGACGCAGGGAAGGCTCCATGCTCTTCAAATGAAGGTCTCAAGAGAGACAGGCGCAGCCCAGCCCAGCCCACCCCTCTGTGGTGGGTCTAGGCTGAGGGTCTTGGGAGAGTGAACCCAGGGAACCTGGCCTCTGGTCACTGTGCCACCACCTCTCACCCTCTTCCGGTTCAGTCCTCCCCACAGCCCTTCAATGCAGAGAGAGGGGCTTGGCTGGGGCCGCCATCCCCACTTACAAATAGAGACCACGCAGTACCAAGGGGCAGGGACTCATGCCCAATCACCTGGCAGAGGCGGAAGGGGAGACCCTGCCTGAGGACCCCCTGACCCCCTGCTCTCTCCATGGAGAGTGGCTTTGAGCATGCTGCTGGCAGCCTGGTGCGTGGGCTCCCTGGGCCCCTGGGAGAGTTTAGATTCCAGGAACCTGAGTCCCAGCTGGGTTGCAGGGTGGTCTGAGATCAGGCCCTGCTCCCAGTCTCTCCTGTGGCACTGGCGGTGGTCCGAGGTGCAGGTCTCTGGGGAAGTGGGCAGCTTTAGGCTCTGTGGACATGGAGCTGACAGCCAGCCAGAAACACTGCCACTTCTCCCAGATTTCTGGAGCCTTCATAAGGAGTGTCAGAGTGATGAGGGTAGGGGCAGGGAAGATGAGCAGAGCGCTGTTGTTACTGTCTTGCGGCTTCTCCCGGGGTGCCTGCGGGCTCTGCCTCTCTAGTCACAATGCGTCCGGCGCCCGGGATCGGCTCAGCTCCGGGAGAGGAGGCCCCTTGCACGGGGCAGCGTCCCTGGGCCCTTTCTGCCTGCTTGGCCCCGACCTTCTGACCCTCCATGAAGCACGTGAGGACTCGGGGACCTCACGTAGAGGACGAGAAGTAGGGCAAAACCAAAGATATTTACAAAACCTCCTTCCAGCCTCGCCCTAATCCGATTGACAAGTGGGACCCAAACAGTGACTCCAGCCTGTGGATGCAGGAGGCGACCTCAGCCTCAACCCGGCCCTTCTAGGCAGTGACCCTTTGCACAGCTGCAGCCGCGATCACCTGTCACCCAGAAGTCTGCAGACTGGCCGGAGTGTTACCAGTTAGCCCTGGGTGCTGGCCTTTCTGTGATTTTAGCTTACTTTTTAATCTGTTTCCTGCTTTCAATTTTTAAAAATTGTACAGTGAGCATTCCTATATCACAGGCAGTAAAGTCACGTGAATAAAGTATGTATTGTGCTGCGAAAAAAAACAAACCCAGCTGGGCACACTGGCCCATGCCTGTAATCCCAGCCCTTTGGGATGCCAAGATGGGCAGATCACTTGAGGTCAGGAGTTCGAAACCAGCCTGGCCAACATGATGAAACCCCGTCTCTACTAAAAATGCAAAGATTAGCCGGGCGTGGTGGTGCGTGCCTGCAGTCCCAGCTACTCCAGAGGCTGAAGCGGGAGAATCGCTTGAACCTGGGAGGTGGAGGTTGCAGTGAGCCGAGATCGCGCCACTGCACTGAAAAAAAAAAAAAAAAAAAAAAAAAAGAACCAGAGTAGAGCAAGCCACCATCGTGTTTCACGTTTGAACCATTCAGAAGATCAGCGGAAGGAAATCGGAAGCAGGGCCTCTCCCAAATATATGGGGCTCACTTCTGCAAACAGCAAAGTCCACTCCTGGGTTTGATGTTTTCTATTCATTCATTTTACTCACTCGAAGCCTGAGCCCAGATGTCCAGCCAGGTACTGGGCTGGCTCTGGGGACCAGCAGGGTCCTAGCAGGCCAGCCCTATCTGCGTGGAGCCATGGATGGGTGGGCACCCTGCAGCCCTCCATTCTCCTCCAGGCCACCGTGGACGTGTACCTACCCTGTGGTTTCTGGGTCCCAGCTTTCTCTACTGCTTCTTCCAGCAAAGTACCCATGTTCGGCCTGGAGGCCATCTGGAGGAACGGCCAAGTGGTGGGCCACGTCCGGAGGGCCGACTTTGGGTTTGCCATCGACAAGACCATTGCCTATGGTTACATCCGCGACCCCAGCGGCGGGCTGGTGAGTTCCCCTCTCTGGCCTTGCTGAGGCTAGCGCTGATCCCTCCCCAGCTCCAAACCAGCTCCCTGCACCACGGCCTGAGTGTGCTGGGCACAGGGAGGAAGTACAGGTGGGGCCCAGAGGAGGAGGAGGGAAGAGAAAGAAGAATGGAGGGAGGAAGGAGGGGAGGAAGCTGGAGGAAGGAGGGGGAGGGAAAAGGGAGGGAGAGGGAGGAGGGGGGGAAGGAGAAGGAGAGGAAGAGGCCTCAGCAGGTGGAGGACTCCCCAGTTCTCTGTTTTCTTTCTGGAAGAATCTGACTTGGTGGTTCCAGGCTTCCCTTGGTTAGAAGGAAGTGCCAGCTGGCCAGCCTGGCTCCTGACACCAGAGACCCAAACCTTAAGCCACCCATGGCTCACCCTTTGCCTGGGGTGCAGGGGTGGCCCCCAGGGTGACCAGAGACTTGGAGACCCGTGTTTCTACCCTCCTCTCTTTTCTCACCCGGACACCCCTGACCGCAGGCAACCCCACGCCCACCAGGTGACCCTGGCCACTGTCTGCAGGAGGCAGGAGCCGGCTGGAAAGAACAGGGTGGCCAGGAGTGGTAGGGCAGGCGGCGGGCAGCCTCCTCAGGAGGGGAAGGGGTGGTCTGTACCTCTTCTTCCCATCTTTTTGACCCTTGGAAGTGGAGGTGCCAGTGAGCAGGGTCACGTCTCTCCACGGGAGATGATCTGACATTTGGCCCAAGCCCCAATGAGGCCGGGAGGTGCTGGCTTGGCTCCAGAGCCTTCCAGGCTGAGCCCCTGACGGACACATGGAGGGAGTCAGGGAGGGAGGGAGCACTTGGGAGAAGTCAGGAGGAGGGGCAGCCTGGAGACAGACCAGCCTTAGCAGGAGCTGCAGGGATGTGCAGGCTCAGCTCGCAGGCCCAAGGGGGCACTGCCAGGCATTGGGCAAGGCCATGGTCCTGTGGAGCCATGGAGAGGTGGCAGCCCATGAGACTGAGTCCCGCAGTGGAGCTGGGAGGCTCAGGACACAGTCGATGCCACCAGCCGTTGGGACCTGCCCTTTACTTGCTTTGTGACCTTGACAAGGATCCTCTCTTGGGGCCTTGATTTCCTCATCTATGAAATGTGGACAGACACCCATCTACCATGCAGGGTCATCGTACAGGCCACTGCCCAGACTGGGGTCCTCTTCGTAAACGGGGATTGTGATGGCGTGGCTGGACAGCAGGCAGGACCTCCTGACCCGGCCCAGGGGTCCAGCCGAAGCGGAGTTTATGGGCTCCATGCCAGGGTGGGCTGGGGAGTGCAGGCCCTTTCTTCAAGGAACAATAATGCTTGCCTCTCTCCCGAGTCAGGGATGGGTCCCTCACCAACGTGACCAGGGCAGCCCAGGTTACGTGGCATCCAGACGGACAGCCAGGGGCCTGGGGGGAACCACCCGCTGTGGCCGGAGCCGCCAGTGCACCTCTCCCACCCCCTCTGTCAGGGGTGCCCAGAGTGTTTGCACTGTGGAAACAGGCAGATGCCACAGTCACGCCCGCTCCACCCCAGAGCTGGCTGTTAAACGTTTTCTAGCACCCCAGGGGGTAACAGGTTTCTTCCCAAGACAGGGAAACCTGCTCTGGTGGGAAAGGCTCGAGGTGGGGAAGGAGCTCCAGCCTCGTGGGTATTTGTCAGCAAAGCCAGGTGCCCGCTGTGAGTTGCGCCTGCCTGTGGACGTTTGAAGGCCACAAGCTTCCTGTGCTGCCTGCCTGTGGGCGCAGCCCAGAGCTTCCCGACCTGCAGGTTCACACTCGGCTCAGGAACGCTGCTCCTCAAGCTCCTGTCACAGAAACAGCTCAGTTTGTTGTTGTTTTTTTTTAATCCAGTCCTGAGCTGCCAGGAACAAGGAACCCTCTGACTCCCAGAGCAGAGCCCGAGACTCCCTCCTGTGGCCCTGGCCTTGGCCTTAATTGCTGTACAGGGAGAACAGCATCTCTGAGCGGCCCAGCCTGCCCTCCTTATAGCGGCCGTGGCAGAGAGGAGGGCAGGCGGGCTGGTGCCGTGATATCCAGCCCGGTGTCGCCAGCTGCACCAGGCTGGACATCACGCCCTCCTTGCGCCTAAGATTACCTGCAGCTGGGGCTGACTGGTTCCCATGGGCTTGCTGGGGGGCCAGGCCAGGGCGTGGGATGGGGAGCACACAGAGGCCAAACTGTCTAGAAGGCTGTTCCAGCCGCCCCTGCCCCCAGGGATGCGAACCGTACTGGCCGCCAACCGCGGCCCTGCTCCAGCCGCTGTGCTTGCCCGGGTCTGGGAAAGCCGCTGTGTTTCTGCTGTTTCCCAGGCACCTGGAATCGCTGGGGCAGGTGTGCTGTCCTGTGTAAGTCATGTTGGCTGCCAGACCTGGGCTCTGCCGGACCCCAGATGCCCGCGTCCAACTCAAGGTCACGTGGACAGGAGCTGCACCTGCTCTGGGGCGATGGCCAGGTTCAGGAAGGATCCTCTGGCTCAGGAATGAGTTCGCTGGCGGGGCAGGCAGCAAGGCCAAGACCCCCTCCTCCAGAGATGCAGGTGAGCCACGCACCCACCCGACCACCAGTGACCCTCATCCCCACCTCTGCTTTTAGGTCTCACCGGACTTTGTGAAGAGCGGGGACTACATGCTGGAGAGAATGGGGGTGACCTACGCTGCCCAGGCTCACCTGAAGTCTCCCTTCGACCCCGACAACAAGAGGGTGAAGGGAATCTACTGAGGGCCCAGCCCCCATGCCCCATCCTATGTCCTCCAGCTATGCCACAGGTCCCAAATGGCCATGGACCCTGAACCCATCCAGAACTTGGGCCCTCCCTGTCCCTAGTCTAGGCCTAGTCCTTCTAAAACCCCCAAAACCAGATATGGACAGAGACCAAGATGGCCCATCCTGGGGTCACGGACCAGAAGGTGCCAATCCACCCCAATCCTCCCGGAAATCAAGCCTGAAACTGGCTTGGGCTCAGGGACCACAGCTTATAACCCTCTTCAGGCTTCTAGAAGGTGCTTAGTAAATACTTGGTAAGCCCTATGTGAAAACAGGCAGGCAAACAGGCTTCATCTTTTACTGAGAGCTCCACTGATCCTCGGTGGGCTTCCCTTGGCCAAAGAGCGTGAGGCTGTGTCTGGGTCGGGAAAGAGCGGTGACCAGCTGGCACTGTCTGCCGTGACGCACTTGGAGACCCGGGACCAAGGTGGTTCTGCAGGATGGTGCCTCTCAGATCACAGGTCCGAATGGGAGCTGGCAAGCTCTTCTTACCTTGTTTGACCTCCCTGTTCTTCAGGGGCCAAAGCCTCCTGAGAGTCGGCAGCCTGGGAACGAACAGAGGAGCCGAAGCAGGGGGTGGGTGCGGCCTCAGATTGGTGCCCTCCTCACCCATGCAGAAGTGCTAGCTCCGCCTCGGTTTCCCCTTGAGCCTCTCACTCACCAGGCCCAGGCAGGAGTGTGCTGCGGGGTAAGAGCATAGGTGGAGTCCCCGTGTCCAGGTGACCTTTGTCTTTGCTGTGGATTCGGATGCAGCTCCCGCCCACACCTTCCTCCTCGCCCAGCCCCTGTGGGAGGACCCTGCCTTCGGCTCTGTCCTGCACGCTGCCTTGAGAGCAGGTGGCTCCTCTGCCCACCCTCTCTTCCCCCCGTAACTGCCTGTGTGTCACAAGTAGCTCTGCGTCTCCTGCCTGGGAGGGGCGTCCATCGCTGCCCGTCGCACATGCTCAGCCCCCTCCCTCGTCCCCCCGAGCCTGGGTTCAGATCAGGCCCGTCACAGCTGCCCTGCGCATTCTTGCCTGGCGTGCCCTGCAATCTGGGAAGAGCAGGTGGCAGATGCTTGGGGGACATTGTGGAGCCGGCGTCCCACAGAGCCACACAGGCAGCCAGCGGCGATCTGGGTGCAGCCATCCTGGCAGGCCCCAGCCACCTCTGGACGCTCCCGCACCTCGTGGCCCACTGTGGACTGAGCTCCAGCAAAGCTGTGGGCAGACGCTGGGGTTACAGATGGCTGTGAAAGGCGGGTTTGGCCCCCTAAGTCTGGGGAGGGGGTTGCGGCTGGAGAGCAGAGTGGGGGCCTCTGGCTTTCATACGCCTCAGGCCGAAGGAACACCTGCAGCCTCCCCTCGCTCACAGGAGGGCCTGGCTCCTGGATGAGGTGACTTTTCGGAGAGGAGGGAGCCAGCTCCCCAGATGGCCTGGCCTGCTTCCTCCCGGCCTGCGGTTTGGCCACAGACCCCTGGACTGGGCCGGTGACCACATCCATCTCACGGCCTGTCCTTGGGGGAAGGCTAAGGACGAGGGGAGGTCAGAGCCCAGGTCCCACTCCAAATCGTATCTCATGGCCGCAGCAGGGGGACGCGTGCGACGGCACCCCTCCCTTCCTGTGTGTGCTTCCTCCACCCCCGAGGAGAGAAAGCCAGCGCCTTGGGGAGGCACTGGGCATTGATGTGAGCACAGCCTCCACGACTCGCCTCCCAAGCTCACCACCTGCGGGCTCCATCCGTGGGCTGCAAGAGGTCCCGGCCGTGCCATGGCTCCCAAACGCGCCGCCCAGGGTCCACATCAGAAGACCCACCTCCCCAGACCCAGAGCCAGGTCTTCCTGACCTCAACTCTAAAACAACCTGGTTCAGAGCTATTTTTAAAGATTTTTTTCTGGAAATACTGATGCCATGATGCTCACTGTGGCTGAGTACTGCCTCTCAGGAACTCCCAGCAAACTGTTTGAAACACGTCTACGCTGTGGCAGGCAGAGCTCTGTACCTCGCTGTGCAGTGAAACAGCCTCAGGCATGTGAAAGGTGGGGGTGTGACCGGGACACAGAACATTCTGTCACTTTTTTTTTTTTTTGAGACACAGTTACTCTGTTGCCCAGGCTGGAGTGCAGTGGTGCCATCTCCACCTCCCAGGTTCAAGTGATGCTTCTGCCTTAGCCTCCCAAGTAGCTGGGATTACAGGCGCCCACCAGCACAGCCTGGCTAATTTTTATATTTTTAGTAGAGACAAGTTTTACCATATTGGCCAGGCTGCTCTGGAACTACTGACCTCAGGTCATCTGCCTGCCTTGGCCTCCCAAAATGCTGGGATTACAGGCATGAGCCACCATGCCCAGCCCTAATTTTTGTGTTTTTTTTGTGGAAACAGGGTTTCGCTGTGTTGGCCAGGCTGGTTTTGAACTCCTGGGCTCAAGTAATCCTCCTGCCTCTGCCTCCCAAAGTGCTGGGATTACAGGCATGAAGCACAGCCCCCGGCCTTGTATCATAATTAATTTAAAATTAATCGCAATCGAAAGTAGCCACCTGAGGCTAGTGGCCACCAGACAGCACAGTGCTGGAGCGCTCTGGGACCCGCTTGGGCAGGCACCCTTTTGCTGACTGGAACCTGGGGTCCAGAGCCGCTCCACCTCTCAATGACGATGGACGTGAGCATTCTTCACCCCACCGCTTGGACAACCTCACAGGTGGTGGGTTGTGCCACCCTAGCAGTCCCCGCCCCCTGGGAGGCTGGAGAACCCTCTCCTCAGTGGGCAGATGGGGAGACCCAAGCCCAGAATGGGAAAGTAACTAACTCAGGGTCACACAGCAGTGGTAAGAACAGTGACTTGGGCTCCTGGACTCGCACCCCAATAATTCAGAAGATGGGTGAGCCCAGAGAGTCCCTTTGGCGTGGAGCATGTGGGTCATTTCCAGGTAATAAAGCTCTTCCCCTAAGCCTCCAAACAGAGAACTTATTTTAGACAAAATCCCCCACAAGGGTTCTGGGGATATCCCCGTTTCATAAGTAAGGAAACAGGTTGAGCATTCAGACACTGGAGTCAGACATGGGGATACTCCGAGCTCCCCGGCTTACTCTGGGTGACCTTGACACCTCACTTTGGGTCTCTGAGCCTCAGTCTCCTCCTCCATCCATGGAAACAAATCACGTGTCTCAGGGGATTGCTAGGGCTGTGCATAGCCTCAGCATGTGACAGTGGCAGCTCTCAACGACCACAGGGCCACACTCCTCTGGGTGTGGGAGGTGTGGGTGCTGCTGGAGTGGGGTGGCGGGGGCAACGTGGCTGCTGTCTCTGCAAGAGGAAGAGGATAACCAGCCTGAGAACGAGAGAGAGAGTGGGGGCTGAGGTGGGGTGGGGCTGTCGCTGTGGGAGGTTCCAGAGCTGGCTGGGATTCCCAGTCACTGGTTCTCTTGGGTCCCAGGTGAGGTACTTATCTGGGAGTCTGTTTCCCTGCCTGTGAGACCCGCAGGCCACCAGTGCCCCTCAGGTGTATGGGCAGGACCGTTCTCTGGGCTGGCAGTTGGGCATGATCAGAGGGAAGGGGGCTCCTTGGGCCTGCTCTGCGTCCTCCGTGTCCACTGCCTCCAGGACTCTAAAGATGATGGAGGGCTGGAGCGCCTCTCCAGGCTGGGGCCCAGCACTCCGCAGCACTAGTGCCCTGTGACTTATGGGCCACGAGAAGCTGTGATTTATACAACGTGGGACAGAGCGCCGGGCTCACAAGTTCCCTTCTTGATGAAGGGCCTTGCAGAAGCAGCAGCCGCGTAGCTGATGCCGGGGGATTCCGAGCCCATCATCTCCCCCTCTCCCCTGGAGGCCGGGCAGCATTTTGCTGAACTGGCTGAACAGAGCCACATCTATTACTCTCTCCAGAAGCCATCAAAGAGCTGGACTTGTCCCTAACTGAGAGACAGCTCAGAGGGCAGGAAGGGGAGACCCACCCAGGACAGTTGAGGTGACTTCAGGACGCTCAGGGGGAAGCACTTGGTACGATGCCTGGCACGGCGAGGAGGCTCGGGGCAAGCTTCTCTCTCCTGGAGTGACGGCCGCTGAGTGCAAACCTACCCACCTCCAGTGGGTGCCAGCCCGAGTGTGAGCTTTATTGGCTCATTAGCCCATTTTACAGATGAGAAAAGCGAGGGTCAGGAATGTGACATGGCCCGCCCAAGGCACACCTCCACGGAGTGGCAGAATCACGCTGAAAGCACAGCCCTGACTCCAGCCCGGTCTGTCCGGCCCCGGCCACACCCACAGGAGAAAGTTGGTGCGAACCATTCCACCCCCCGTGGAACCAGCGCCCAGAAGCCCGGCTGGAGCTTCACTGCTTCGTCTTTTGGTGGTGGTGATAGCTGTCAGGGCTTTCCTTTAGGTGGGCGAAAATGTCTATTTACTCAGCAATGGAGCAATTTCCCCGACGAGTCTCTAACTAGCTAAGTGCCTGGTCCTGCCTCCATCGCAGGGAAGCCGCCCACTGCGAAACAGCAGCCACTCAGCGGGGAAATGTCTAAGCAGCACCCGCCGCGCACTGACACAAATCACCATCACGGGGAGCAGCGGGGCGGGGGAGGGAGCATCCAGGGTGAGTCTGTGCCCTGGCCCAGCATGGCGCCTGTCCCAGGGACCTAGCCTGTGAGGAGGGACAGGGCAGGTGGAGGGCTGGACCCTGCACTGAGCCAGCGGGTGTGGGCAGACAAGGTCCTGGCACACTTGGTCCAGGGCAGGTCATCAGGGCCCCCGTTCCCTCTCAGACATGCAGGATACCCCGGGGAAGAAGGCTGGATTGGACTGTGATCTTAGGCAGGGCATGGTCTGGCCCCTTCATCCTGGGCATGCAGGGCTGTTCCATGGGAGCTGTCACAGAGCCAGTGTGAGCCCACAGGGACAGCACAGAGGAGGGGGAGGCGAGGTCCCCCCTCAGCCTCTGTCCCCAACAATGTTGATAATGGTGGGGCTGGCAGGGCTTGGGCACTGTCTGGGGGGGCACTGTGGGGTGGGCGCTCCCAGCGAGGAGATGACCTTGGGCAGCGGCTGCAGGTTCCAGTCACCCTACAGGGAAGGCAGCAGGAGGTAAACTGAGGCTGGAGGGCAAGATGGGTGGCTACCTCCCAGCCACTTCCCAGACACCTCTGGGGTTCTTGCCCTCACACTCGACTGGTTCCAAACCGAACTCACCCTTCTCCCCCAAGCTGCTTTTTGGGGGTCCATTGACCTCAGTCAATGCCCCCTCCCCTGGCTTTCCAGTCACCTAGTCAGGAAGCTGGGAGTCGCCCAGGCCCCTCCCCACCTCCGGCCCCACCCAGTGTCATCATGCACTAATGTAGCAACCAGAGCGCCTGGTTGCAGGCTCTGATTTTTTTTAGCCATTTCTCCCCCTCAGCGTCCAGCCCACACTATTCTCGGCCAGCCAGTATAAGCCCTTCCTTCCCTTGATGCTGAGGATGTTTGACTTAGCAATTAATCCAACTCCCGAAGGCTTCCGGGAAAGATCTTCCCGGGTTTCCAGGCTGCAGCACCTTATGTGACTAATTCCACAAAAGGCCTGAGCTCCTGACCGCAGCCCGCTGGGCTGCGGATAAATGAGATGCCTTCCAATACCAGTGGGTCTCAGGGAAGGAGGGAAAAGCCAGCTCAAGGCTTCAGGCTGGTTCGTTTCTCACGTTCCCCTCCCCTGGCAATTTATTTTTAGGCTCAGGGAGAGGTTGGTGCACCTGCTCATACTGGCATCTGACATTCGGCACCAGTGTGGAGGTGTCCTCTGGAGAGGGTGCTGCCCTTCCTGGCCTTGCTATTGGCTCTCTCTTTCTCTCATCTCTCTCTCTCCTCTCTCTCTCTCTCTCTCTCTCTCTCTCTCTCTCTCTCTCTCTCTGTCTCTCTCTCTCTCCTCTGTCTCTCTCCTCTGTCTCTCTCTTCTCTCTCCCCTCTCTCTGCTGGCCGTCTGTCTGTCTGGGTCTGTCACCACCCTGCACTTGCTCTAACTGCCTTGTGCGAGCACGTTTGCCAGCAGTTCGGTGCGCAGCCCCATCACCCCCCGCCGGGGCCCTCCACGAGGCCTGCCCTGGCCGGATGCCCGCCTACACCCATGGCTGCACACCTGGAAACGGACGGCCCAGGACTTGTTGCAGTGCATGGAGATGGGCGCGAAGCCATACAGGGCCTGCAGCACCTTGCGGCTGAAGGAGTTCCAAGGAACAGAGGCGAACTGCTGAGGAACGGATGGCTGAGGGCAGGTGCACACCTCCTTGCCGCCGTTGAACCTGGTGAGGATAAGGAACAGCCAGGCTGGGGAGTGGCGGAGGGGCAGGGAGCCCAGGGAACACCGACAACGCCTCCCTGCAGGTGGGGTCCTGTCCCTGGGGTGATCTTCCTGAGGCCTCCTCCCCAGCCCCGCCACCTCGTCCCCAGCCCCGCCACCTCTGCCAGGCCGCCCCAGATGCTGTCTTCACCAGCAACGCCTTCACCTCTCCGGTCACCTTGGCAGGTGGGGAACAGCTGCTCGGGGCTGGGCTGAGGAGGCTCTCAGGTCAAATCCAGACTCAGCATGAAGCGAGTGAGGGGAGGGATGAGTGACGCCACCACAGGCTCCTAGCTCAGCCTGGGCTCCTCCAGTCTGCCCAGGGGCCTAACAGGCCCAGAGGGTCTGGGTCGGGGTTCCCTGGGCCGGGGAGCGTGGCGGGGAGCCGTCACCTGTTGATAAGGCGGAAGTACTCCTGCAGGAAGCCGGCGTCCACCGCGCTCTTGCAGAGCTCCAGCTCCGTCTGGGGGTAGTAGTGCACGTAGTTGACACACATCTCCTCCTTGATCCCAAAGCCGCCCTGCAAGGCAGAGAAGAGCCGTCAGCCCTGGCCCAGGCCACAGAGACGCTGCCGTCCAGCAGCTTTCGCCACGCGCACGTGCTCACTGTGTCCTTGTCTGTTCACGGCACTGTGCCGGGCGTGCTCTGAGGAACAAAGTCCCTGCCTTCACAGAATTTCCACCGAGGGCAGGAGAGACAGGCAGTGAGTGAGTTAACTGGGAAATTCCTGTCAGGTGCTGATGGTGCCGTGAGGGAAAACGAAATGGCACAAGTAGATGGGGTGGCATCGTGCCCGTTTTATGGGTACAGAAACTGAGTCTCAGAGTGGGCAAGGGGATGCCCCGTGGTAGCCACAGCATCAGTGGCACAGCCTGAGTGACCCAGACTCCCAGCTGTTGGCTAGAAGCTGTCCCCATGACCTCCAGCAAGAGCCTGGAGCCGAGGACTGCAAGGGAGGCCCTTTCCCTGCAGCCCCAGCCATCCACCGGTCACTTCTAGAACTCGGCTCTGAGGGGAGCAAGGGCTCCAGAAGACAGGACTGTGACTAGAGGCTGTGACAACAACCTCCAGCTTCCCAGGGCAACCCTATGGTCTGCCATAATCAGGGCAGGCACCCCCTCAGTCCCCACTGCTGGCTTTAAGCCCCTGGCTGGGTTGCTGGTGACTGTGGAGCCTCAGCCAGAGGAGGAATAAGAATGCCGGCAGCTTGGAGGAGCCGGGGCTGAAGACAGCAGAGCTCCCCCGACAGCAGCTCAGACTCCAGCAGGGCAGGGCCTGGGACAGGACGCCCTGGTGTCCTCCAGGCTCCCTGCTCTTTGTGAAGCTGCTGTGGGCCTGGAGATTTCATGTGGCCAGTGGGGGAAAAAGGCCATCGCTACTCTATGGCAGAACAGGACTGGGAAAGCTCAGTGTGGTGCTTAAACCAGCTGCCGCCCCTCCTCCTATGTAGACAAAGAGCACGGGGCAGTTCTGTCCAGAGACCAAACCTGGCACCTGTTGGCCGGGAGGGTTTCTGCCTGCGTTGTTCTCTGGGCTGGATTCCTCCCTTCCCGGCTTTTATCATCCATCCGGCCCGCGTCAGATCGGGGCGGTAACTGTCCTATGTGAGTTCCCGCCCCTCCCCGCCTCTGCCGCTGCCGACATCAAAAGGGAGCTGGGTCGAACCCTGTGCAGGATCTGTCCTCCTCTCTCACCTGGGGAAGGAAATGGAATTTCAAAGGCCGCTGTCTCTTGGATCAGCAGGCGAGCAGTTATCGGAGCACGAGAAGCTCAGATCCGCCTGGGGAGATGCCCTCCCCTTTGATCTCGCCTGCTGCTGTGATGAAGCCACTGCTGAGAGGAGGGCACGGGCCGGGGAAGCCCTGAAGAACGGGCATCTGAGACGTCAGTGGTGCTCACCAGGCCTGGCAGCCTCAGACGCCCTGGGACATGGCATCAGTTCTGTTGCCACAAAGCCAGGTTGGGCAGGGAACATGCAGTTTCCTCGCTGGAGACCTCCCCATCCCTGGCCCTGGGGCTGCGCCTGCAGAATGGGGCCGGTGCTGTGGTCCCGCCTGGGGTGCTCCATCTGCAGAGCCTGCTGTCTGCAAGCTCAGCACCACACAGGTGCTCAGCTGAGAGGCAGCACGGTCAGGGTTGGCACCTCCACCCATACCAGCCCTGCCTCCAGTTCACTGTGTGGCCTCAGTGGCTGGATCTCACTGGGTCTCCTGGTTGGATATGCTCAGAGGCCCCAGCAAGGCTGGGTGTGGTTAGGATGAGTTATCGGAGCAGTGCTGGGCTGTGGCAGGCACCTGACATTGGCCGCTGCCAGGATCTCCTGAGCACCTCCTCTACAGCGAATAAAGGGCTGGCAAAGCTCTCCTGCCCACCCCAACCCCCCACCCTGACTTTGTGATCATGCACTCACAGCAGTTGTCACCTGAAATCCAAGGGAGACAGGAAGTGTGTGGCAAAAGCTGTGAGGCACAAGGCCCTGGGTCAGATCCCAGCTCAGCCATCTATTAGCTGTGTGACCCTGGTCAAATGCCTGCCCTCTCTGAGCCTGCTTGTCTCACCTGTGAAAATACAAACTGGCTGGGTGCCGTGGCTCATGCCTGTAATCCCACCACTTTGGTAAACTTGAGGTCAGGAGTTCGAGACCAGCCTGGTCAACATGGTGAAACCCCCGTCTCTACTAAAAATACGAAAATTATCTGGGTGTGGTGTCACCTGCTGGTAATTCCAGTTACTGAGGAGGCTGAGGCAGGAGAATCGCTTGAACCTGGGAGGGTTGCAGTGAGCTGAGATTGTGCCACTGCACTCCAGCCTGGGCGACAGAGCAAGACTCCATCTCAAAAAAATATACATGCAAAAATTAGCTGAGTGTGGTGGTACATGCCTGTAATCCCAGCTACTCGGGAGGCTGAGGTAGGAGAATCGCTTGAACCTGGGAGGCAGAGATTGCAGTGAACCGAGATCGTGCCATTGCACTCCAGCCTGGCTGACAGAGTGAGACTCAGAAAGAAAGAAAATATAAATACTCCTACCTTGGAGACTGGTGTGAAAACTAAATGAGAGGCGGAGACAATTCGGATGTCCATCAATGAATGAATGGATACACAAAACGCGGTCCATCTGTACAACGGGCTGTTACTCATCCATGAAAAGGAATGAGGCACTGAGCCCTGCTACAACATGGAGAAACCTCCAGATCATCACGCTATGAAAAAAGCCAGACACGAAAGGCCACGTATTGTGTGATTCTATTCACGTGAAGTGTCCAGAACAGGAAGATCCACAGAGACAGAAAACAGATCAGTTGCCAGGCTGAGGCGGGAGGGGAATGAGGACCGACTGCTTAATGGATATGGGGTTTCCTTTGGGGGTGATGAAAATGTTCTAAAATTGACCATGGGGATGGGCTGCCTGTATATGTGAACATACAGAAAATCATAGAATTGCATGCTTTAAATGAATGAATGCTGCAGTCCGTGAATTACATCTCAGTAAGGCTGTTTAAAAAGAAACATAAATGAGGCTGGGTACGGTGGCTCATGCCTGTAATCCCAGCACTTTGCGAGGCTGAGGTAGGTAGATCACAAGGTCAGGAGTTTGAGACCAGCCTGGCCAATATGGTGAAACCCCATCTCTACTAAAAATACGAAAATTAGCCACACGTGGTGGTGGGTGCCTGTAATCCCAGCTCCTTAGGAGGCTGAGGCAGGAGAATTGCTTGAACTCAGGAGTCGGAGGTTGCAGGGAGCTGAGATCATGCCACTGCACTCCAGCCTGGGTGACAGAGCAAGACTCTATCTCAAAAAAAAAAAAAAAAGAAAGAAAAAGAAAAAGAAAAACAGAAATGAGACTGGCAGTCGGGGCTCAGTAAACATCAGGTGAATCCACATTGGATTGAAACACAAAGAACAGGGCTGTGACATGCACCGAAGTTCCTGGCGCTGAGGGGTGTCAGGGTAGGTGTAACCAGGTCTGCTCCACTCTGAGCCACACAATTTGCAGGATAACCACGGGAGACCACCATGGTCACGGAGACAGCTGGACGGATCCAGTGGCAGGGAGGTCCTGGCTTGTGCCTGGGACCCAGGGAATTGTGACCAGCATCCCCTTTCACTCCCAGAAGCAGCCTGTGGGGTGACGCTCCCGCAGCTGCCTGTGTCCTGGTGCTGCCTAGATACCCAGCCTTGAAAGCACATGTCCCCAGTGCAGATTCTCCCAGGACTGTCTGCAGTCCAGCCAAAATGCATCCTCAGTGACGCTCACCCCACCTGACGCCTACCCATGTCTCCACCCTCCCTTCCCCTCCTTGCCATCCTGAGAATGTTCTCTGTCCTCTGGGGCTCCCCGCACGCTGCCCCTGCACGGAGCCTTCCTCCACCTCCTCCCCTCTCCTCTAGGCTCCGTGGGACAGCCACGTCTCTGAAGAGGCCCTCTCGGGCCCCTGCACCTATGGCTCCACAACCCGGTTTTTAAAGTGTTTTTGTAACTTGGCTTGTCGTTAGCAGCAGGTGCTCCAGGCCTGTCTCCCTGGTGCATCTTGAGCTCCACGGGGCAAAGGTCCACCTCCTGTCCTACGGCTTCTCCCCACACCAGCCCCGGTGCTGAGAAATGCTTCTCAGTGTGAGTGGTTCTTAATCATGAGCTGGGGTCGACATCAGCTGGGAGCTTGTTAAAACACGGGTGGCTCAGTGCCACTGCCCATGTCTCTGACTCAGTGGGCCTGCCCATGTCTCCACCCAGGAGGCTACATTTATCCCAGGCTCCTGGTGATGCCACCACTGTGGGTTCAGGGAGTGGGTGCCGAGGACAGCCGGCTTATTGAGGGGATGAGGGGACAGCCCATGCCCCAGGTGAGGAGTCAAGACCTGTCCTCCTTCCTCAGATGGCCCAGGCTAAGCACTCCCTGGGCAGGTGTAGAGGGAAGTGGCGGTGACTCACCACGGTGGCCTGCTCCCGGTCTTCCGTGTTGTACGTGCAGGACGTGATAAGCACATCTCCCTGGGGAAAAGCCAACATGACCATTAGCACCTGCCGCCTGCTCCTGTCCCCATGGGACCACGCCACTGTGTGTGCCAGGGCACCTCTGGGGGAGTGCAGCAGGTTCACATGTGAAGTTCACAGGCTGAGTGTCCCCAGGAAGTTATACACCATCAGCTCCTGCGGCCCAGTGGGTCACACAGGGCTCAGGCCAGTGGGCGTGCAGGCCGGTGGGGCATGACACATCTCAGGGGACTTGTGCAGGGCCCCACGGAGGCCTGGGCTTTCCCTTCTGTGGAATCAGGGCTCCACTGCCGGCCTCAGCGCCCTCATCTCCTCCCAGACACTCTCGGGTTTGTGGTTCAGCCGACTGGGCTGAGGACACGCATCCCCTGGGGGTGTCCTGTCTCATCCCTCCCTTCCCATGTCCCTCTTTGAACTCCTGATAAGTCTCCTCATGAGGCAGCCCAGCCCTGAGCCACCCACAGGAACCCTCCCCCTGCCCTGGGCATCTCTCCCCTCCCCACCTCACTTTCTCTGTCCCTCTCCTTCTGGAGGCAACCCCAGCCCTCCCAGTCACCCCGGCTGGTGTCAGTGATGGGAACGGCCTTCCTGCTGGGCACTCACCGGATGAACCGACACGACCTTCTTCAGCATGCGGATCTCCTGGGGTAGGCAGAGCCGAGCGGTTGGGGGAGTGGAGACCTCAGAGAGCTGCAGACTGGACCCAACCCCCTCACTGCGCCCTCCCTCAGGCCTCCCCGACCTCTGGGGGTGTCCATTTTGCCCCAGCCTCTACAGTGGAAGCCAGGGCTGGCTAAGTACGGCTTCTGGCCAGGGAGGGCATTAGATTCAAACGAGAAGGTGGTTATCTAAGAGTGAGACCCCTGTGACCAGAGGGCTGCCTGGGTCTCCTGAATCCCACCACCATCTGCCGTGTCCAGACCCCCATCCCAGAGACCCTCCCTATGACCAGACACCCAAGCGGGGAGCACAGGCCGCATAGGGGGCCTGGCCCAGGAGAAAGAAGCCAGCCTGGGGCCGTCCCTATGACGTCCGTGATAGTAGGCCCAGCAGGTGGCTTGGGGGCAGGGCTGGGGGTGGGGCGGGAGTGGGGCGCAGGTCCCTACCTGGAACAGAGGGCTGTAGTGATTGTCCTGGTTCACGACCTCCCACTCGAGCCCGTCCCGGACCAGCACCGTGACCACCTTTCTCCCGGCCAGGTGTGTGTGGAGCTGAGAGGCGAAAATGTGGATCCCGGAGGGGGGCAGTGCCTGTGGGGTGGGGGTTGGGGGGGGCTGCAGTGTCAGGGCCCGACCCCCGAGGGGACCCTCCCGTCCACGGCCAGACCCGGCAGGGATCAGTCCCCCGGGCAGTCTGCTTCCCTGAAACACTTGAATTTTCCAGGTCTTTCTCCCCGGCCAGCTCAGAGCCACCATCAGAAACCTCACGGGGAATGACCTGCTCAAGAGCGAGGTGGCCACGACAGCCCCCAGCGCCCAAGGAAGCAGCCCCCAGTCCCGCTTGGGAGAGACTTTCTTTCTGAGTCTTGGACCTTTCCTGAGCCCCAGAAGTCTGATGGGTCCAGCTTCACTCAGTCAACAGACCTTTAAGGTGAGTCCCCCATGGACAGGGAGTGGCAAAGCCACTAAGCTGAGCAGCGCGTGGCCTCTATGCCCAAGGCCTTGCCATCCAGTGGACGACGAGAGGCGGAAGGCCTGGGCAGTGCCCTGCGTGCTGGGCCGGGCAGGCCTTTCAGCTGCCCTGCAATGTGTCTTCCTTTCAGCTTCAAGGCAGCCAAGGCTACATTCTGCCTGTGCTCAGCATCGCCCCTGCTACAGCCGGAAGCTACAGCTGCAACTGGAAGGTGGTCGTCCAGGGCCAAGACAGATGTGAGCACAGAGTGCTGCAGCTGGGCGCTCTGAGGCTGCAGGCCGGCCTCACAGAAAAGACGGCAGCCCTCACACCAAGAGGTCTCTCGCCAGCCATCGCTGGGGCATGAGAGAATCTTCCAGAGAGCAAAAGTTTTCTCTAACCTAATGCTAACTTTTTGTTAGATAGAAAATGCGTTTCCATGGTGAGGCGTGGTGGCTCATGCCTGTAATCCCAGCACTTTGGGAGGCCGAGGCAGGTGGATCACTTGAGGTCAGGAGTTTGAGACCAGCCTGGCCAACATGGTAAAACGCCTTCTCTACTAAAAATATGAAAATTAGCCAGGTGTGGTGGCCGTGCCTATAATCTCAGCTACGCAGGAGGCTGAGACTGGAGAATCCCTTGAACCCGAGAGGCGGAGGTTGCAGTGAGCTGAGATCGCACCACTGCACTCCAGCCTGGGCAATACGAGCAAAACTATCTCAAAAACAAACAAACAGAAAGTGTTTCCTGAAATGGAGCATTTTCTTTGTGAGTTGTCTCCTTGCCCACCCACTGCCAGGCTCTGCCGAGCTTGTTCATGCCTTCGGCAGGTCCCGTCGGCCCCATTCCTGAAGGTCAAGGATGGCCGAGCCTTTTACGACTCATCTGCCGTCAGTTTTGTTCTTTCCCTCTCCCTCCCAAGCAGCAGTCACCCCTGACCTTGCCGTCACTGATAGCTTTGTGTCCCTTGCAATGGCTCGAGGGGCCATGGTGTGCCAGGCCTGGAAGCCCAAAGGGTCCCAATGACCCTTTGGTGCCCAGAGGCTGACCCTGGCCTAGAGATGCCAGGCACAGCCAGGTGGAGGGAGGACTATGCTCTTCTGGGCACTCTGGTCCAAAGTAGCACTCTCTTCTTGGCCTGTCTGTTTCACTGGGATATCTAGCCTACGCCGGATTTTGGCTGCAGAATTTGTGCCCCTCTGTTATCTGCTAAAGGAGAGACAAGACTGAACACTCTCATTCTGTCATGTAAGGTCGTAGAGGACTCTGGGACGGGAGGGCGGCTCTGCATTCCTGGGGCTGGACAGAGGCGTTCTCACAGTCAGCAGTCAGTGGAGTCAAAGGCCCCAAGGCCACGCAAGGGGCGGTGGGTGCTGCCGGCCTGAGGCCACTCTTCCCTGTGAGCCCCGGCCATGGAGCCTTTTCTATGGGCCCACGCTTGACCAGTGGGGGCTTTAGGGAAGTGGGAGGCAGTGTCCACTGCAGAGCGTGGTTTAAGGTTTCTCAACCCAGTCTCGGACAAAGAGAACGGATTTCCTGCGGGAGACCACGGGTCCCGTGCCAGCCAAGAGCTCTGTCTCTCGTCAGCCTTGAGGAACTTTTGCTTGGAAGACTGGGATGGTCTGGGGGCTTCCCCACAAGAAGAAAAAATCCTAATCGACTCATTTGCTGGGAAGGAAAATGCACTATAAACCTCATTACAACACAATCTGCTGCCATGGGCACAGCTTTCAAAGTCAGACAGGCTGGTATCTGAATCCCACTCTGCGCAACTGCTGGCAGCGTGATCCCAGCAAGCCTCAGCCTCCTCATCTGTGAAATGGGCACGTCAACACTTACCTTCTAGGCCAGGCGTCCCCAAACTTTTTACACAGGGGGACAGTTCACTGTCCCTCAGACCGTTGGAGGGCCGCCACATACTGTGCTCCTCTCACTGACCACCAATGAAAGAGGTGCCCCTTCCTGAAGTGCGGCAGGGGGCCGGATAAATGGCCTCAGGGGGCCGCATGCGGCCCGCGGGCTGTAGTTTGGGGACACCTGTTCTAGGCCATTATGAGAAGTAAAGCTACCCCACAGGAAGAAATGTTTATAACACACACACAAACTAGGAAATAGCACCCATCACATAAGAAGAACTAGAAACCAATAGTAAGAAAAACCAACCACCTACCAGAAAAACTGGGCACAGGAATGAACACAAAAGAGGAGCAAATGGCCAGGGGGCCGATGAGAAGATGAGTCCATGCACAGAAAACTCAAGTTAAACAGCACTGACGTGCCTTCCTCCCAAATGACTGAGAAAATATTTACAATTATTGTTGATCCAGTGGGTTGGTAAGTCTGGCACCTACCCGGTCAGTAAAACCGGGGACCCTCTCATCCTGTGTGTGGGAGGAGGCAGCAGATGGGCTTTCTGAGGGGCATTTGACAAGGTTTAGTCAAAGGAACACTCATGTCTCTGAGCAGCAATTTCACGTCTAGAAATCTGCATGAGAAAATGGTTTCCTGCATGGACAAGGATTTTCGGAAGCTTATTTCTATTCGTGAAAAGTTGCCAACAGCCTAGACACTGATTGACAGGGAGACAGTTCAGCACAGGCTCTGACCAAGATAGGGCAAGCCCAGGAGGAGATTTTAGTAGCTACGGCCCGATCTCACCAGAGGCCAAGGCCCTGCTGTCGACGCCAGGGCCCAAGCGCCAACCTGTGCCCCCACACAGCGTGCACAGCCCTGAGGATGGGCGCTCCCTGAGATCCTGTAGCTGGCACCTCACTGCCTCCTCTAGTCCTGCCCTGCTCAGGTACATGGTGAAAACCCCATCCTGTGGAATACTATGCAGCAATAAAAAGGCAAATCACAGGACAAATGACTCCATTTGTGGAAAAATTCATAAACTATTCAGTATGACTCTAAAAAAAAACCCACAGAAGGTTTCCAGCACCTGCAAGGGCTTCCTGAAATACACAGGAGAAAGGTTTGGAAGGACACAGAGAGCCGACAAGTGGGTATCTCGGGGAGAGGCGGCGGCGGGTGAGGGGAGCGTTTTCTTTAGCTGCAGTGCCTGTGCTTTTGAGTGGCGAGTGCATGTGTGTACAGCTTACATAACGATGGCATATTTTAAAATGCAGCGCGTGGAAGCCTGGCACGTGGGTGTGGACTAGTGGGAGCCGTGGTTATTGCTGGAGAGGGAGGTGCACACACACACGTGGCCTCTCAGCAGGAAGGCTTCCGTGCATACAGAAGAGAGGGAGGACCACAGGGGGATTCAGGGTCAGAGGAGCCAAAGCCGTGCCTGCCAGCCTTCTTGGACCGCCACCTGCCAGGCCTCCACTGGGGGACGAGGGAGGAGGGAGAGTGCCGTGCGGGGCCCAGTCCCACTCACCAGCTGGGTGCACTTGTCCGTGCAGTAGCCAGTGAGGACGAAGTCAGTCTCCTGCGGCGGAATGGCCATCACTGGCGTGTACACCAGCCCCAGCTCCATGATCCCGGCTTCGAAGCGCCGTACCCTGTGCGTGTAGTACAGGCGGATGCCTGAGGAGTCGTGCTGTCCTGGGAGAAGGTGGGATGGATGGAGGTGAGCGGAGAGTGGAGGCCCTCTCACCTCCCACTGCTGACAGATGATCCCTATGACCCCAGTGCTCAGCCAGGAGGCAGGCCATCCCCCAGTCTGCTCCCACCCGCTAGGCAGACCAAGAGCCTCCGTCTTTGTTCCCACACCTGTGGATGCCAGCAGCGAGCAAGGTCAATTAACAGAAACAGGCTACACTCTCCGGGAAGAAAGCGCTATTGTTTCTCCGAAAACTAGCTGAAAGCTATGGAGAGATGTGATCAAGAGGAGGCACTTAAAGCTGGCCGCGGAATCAGGTGCGGGTGAGATGCGGCTGATACGCTGGGAAACTCCTGAACAACTCGTGTTCTGTGCTCAGATTGTTTCCTAAGTGCTTCGATGTTCTTATTCCACGTTCAAAGGAGCCTTAGCTGGAAATCAGCCTGCAGGACAGTGACCACCTGCCGGATGTGGTCTGGGGGAAGAAGAGGGCATGGAACTCCCATCTGCTCATGGCCCAGAAGAGCCCTGGCCCCGCGTCAAAGCTGGGCAAGTGTGAGTGTATCTCTGTGTTGAGGTTAACGAGAAGCTTTCAGGGAGCACATCCTCTCTGCAGCCCACACTTTTACTACTTTGATTTCTGTCCTGCAGACCCAGGGAATCCACCTACCCAGCTGACGTCTCAGGAACAATCTGAGCAAGAATGTGGCCCCAGGAGGAGGGCCAGCATTGCAGGTCCAGCCCCCGACCAGGCATGGCCCCAGGTCCCGCTTGGTCAACAGTGTGCTGTGTGCTCTCAGATGACTTGCTGTCCCTCTCTGGGCCTCAGCCCACAGTCAAGGGCCTCTTCCAAAGGAAAACGTGCTGCTGCTTCCTATCACGGAGACCGTGTATCTCCTGATTGCGGTTTGGCAACACCTATTGCTGCTTCTTGCCGTTTGCTAACTGGAGAGTCCCTGAAGCTCCCTGGGCAGGCCTCCCAGCAGTCACGTGAAACTGATGGTCAGAGGTCCAGGAGGCCAGGCACCGTGGCTCACACCTGTAATCCCAGCACTTTGGGAAGCCGAGGGAGGCAGATCACCTGAGGTCGGGAGTTTGAGACCAGCCTGGCCAACAAGACAAAACCCTGTCTCTACTAAAAATACAAAAATTAGCTGGGCGTGGTAGCACAAGCCCATAATCCCAGCTGCTCGGGAGGCTGAGGCAGGAGAGTTGCTTGAACCTGGGAGGCGGAGGTTGTAGTAAGCCGAGACCACGCCACCACACTCCAGCCTGAGTGACAGAGTGAGACTTCGTCTCAGAACAAAAAACAAAAAAACAGAGGTTCAGGGATGCTGGCACCCACTGGAACATCCTTGAAACCAGGCGTCCTCCAGAGAGCCCTGCTGTTCCTGAAACTCCATGCCTGGTGAATCAGCAGCCCGGTTCTGAGTACAGGCTGAGCTCATGGTGGGGGATTTGAAGGCCTGGCCATAGCCCTATGTCCCTAGATGCATGGTGGACATGGCGGGATAGTCAGGAGGGGCTGTGCAGCAGGAGGCTCCGCCCCCTGGGTTATGTATAGGAAAGGGTGGTCAAGTGGCATGGGGTATGAAATTGACAACGGGTTTTAATTCACAGGGACAAGGCTTCTGATGAAGATGAATTAAAAAAAAAAAAAAAAAACAGATATGAAGTTCTGGTCACAAGAAAAAAATTAATGGGCCAGAAAACCAGTCAGGGCAGACACGTAGCCGGTGATCAGTGCTCGCTTCAAAACTGGGAGCCAGGAGCTGGGGAATGGTTTCATCTTCTTCATGCTTTTTTGCTCTCCAGCAGTGTACATGCGTTGCCCTTTATGATCAAGAATAAGAGGGTGGTGCAGATACTAACATCTTCCCTGGGTGCCAGAAATTGTCTGGACATAACCTATCCCCTTCCTAAGAGTTTTGCACAATAAGGATCATCAGGCTCATTTTACAGATGAGGGAACTGAGGATGGAGCCTGAGCCGAAGACTCTGCTCTGGATCACAGGGCTGGGAAGCGGCCAAGCTGGGATTCAAACCAGGGCTGTAGACTGAGCTCAGGGCATCGTCAGGAGGCCCAGCCACCTCCCTGCTTGCTTCCTCTAGGGTGAGGCCAAAACACCTCCTCTTGCCTCTGCCTTCTTCCCTGGACACCCCTGCACCATCCAAACTCAAACGGCTCCTGTATCTCCGGGCTGATTGCATCAGAGGATAATAATAAAAAGGGTGTTGCAATTGGTTAAACTTCAGATGGGGATTAAATCATGAAATAATTGTGGGATTTTGATATTTATAGAAAAGCAGCCCATCTCGAGATTGGTAAAGTGACAGGAGCGTCCTTATATTTGGCAAAGGATCCATAAATACAACCAGATAATCATGAACAGACAGACTTCCCTGACGCTTAGGGAGTTTTCATAAATCCATTTGCTTTCAGGGCTTAAATGAGCAATAAATCCTGTATCATGCTAAGGCCCAAGCTGACTTATACCCGTCCCTGTGCGTGTGGAGAGAGCTCCGGCAGCGGCGGAAGGTATTACTTATGCAGCCAGGGAAAACCACAGACAACTGTTGGCTGGGCACAGCCCTGTGCCAACACACAGCAAGTTCTGTGCGTGAGCCTTTCCCAGCTTCACAGCAGCTGTGGGAGGTGGGTGAACAGGCAGAGGGTGAGGTCACCACCGCCCCCTGCCTTAGGCATCCCCGAGGTGGGGAGTCACAGCCTAGCTCTTATCTCTTAGACCGCTTCTGCACTTTGCACAAATGGAAATAAGAAGTGCCATTCAGAGAGATAGAGCGCGTGTGTGTGCGTGTGTGTGTGCACGTGCGTGTGTGTGTCTATATATGGTGGAAGATGCTGGTGCAACAGAGAGAAGGAAGTATTTTCAGTTTCTGAGGTAGCGTTGCCTGGTCTTGCCATGCTAAACGCTGACCCTGCTCACTCCTCCCTCAGGTCTGGGTGACCCAGCAGCTGCTGCCCCAGCTCCCCTTCCTGTGCCTGCCGTGCGGCCAGGCTGGACGTCCTGTGTCCCCAGACATGCCCTGTTTTACACCCTCCCTGTCTATGTACACACCACTGCCTCTATCTGGAGCTTGGCATCTGGCGGCTTCCCTTATGAAAATTCCCCTTGCCCTTTCCCACGTGGGGTGTCCCCGAGATGAGCAGGGCTGCGCTGATGGCAGCCAGTATTATAGGGACAAGGAGGGAGGTATGGGGCCACTGCTGGGCCCTGGCGACACCATGAGGAGTGAGCCCCACAAGGCCCTGTCCCTGGGAGCCCACTACAGCCATGGACAATGGAGAGCAGACGAGGCTGACCCGAGGGCCACGTGCCAAGAACAGCCGGACGGCAGAGGCGCCATGCAGGGCACACAAAGGGTGGGATTTTCTCCATGGCTCAACACAGCTGAGCCCTGGGGCTTCTGAGGGGAGGACGGTGGCAGAGCCCCCTACCTTCTTTCACCAGCGGGTTGTGGTAGTGAACTTCCAGGCGGAGATATCTGGAGGACCCAGGGCCCCCGAAGGCAAGGCCAGCTTCCTCTGGGTAGTAAAAGGCCTGTGTGGAGCAGGGTGTCAGACAAATGGGTGTGTCCTGAGAGGGTCCCAGATAGGGACAGGGGCAAACCCAGCCAGCTGTTGGGGCCTGAGCTGCAGGGGTGGTAGACGGGGCACAGCAGGATTTGAGTGATGCTTCCTCCTATAGGCAGCTATTTAAGCTCCCCAGAGACAGCCTATGAGACTCGGGTCAGGGAGTCGGGGAGAGGAGCTGGTGCCTGGGGCTGAGCCCTTCCCTGAAACCCCTTCTCTAGATAGGTGGGAGAGCTGGTGAGATCCCCAGTGTCAGCCTGGGGAGGCCTCCACCCTGGCCCCACCACCAGCCAGTCCTGGGACCACTCTGTGCACAAAACCCTGACTCCAGGACCCACTGAGGGCATGCACTCCTGGGGCACTCTTGTTTCTATGGAAAATAACAAAGGCTGGAAGCAGGTGAAATTTCAGGCATCACAGAGGCGAGGAGGTCACCTCACGGCTGGCCCTTCCGATGGCCTCGTGGGTCCCCTTAGGAGCTCTTTCTTGGGGCCTCCAAGACAGTGAAGCTGGGAAAACAGGGCTGGGGGCACGCCAGAGGCCCAGGCAGGAGACGCCACCCTGGGGTCGCGGGGCACGCACCTCGGCGCCCAGGGCCCAGGCGGCCAGCACTCGGCGGCAATAGCTGAGGTTGCTGGGTTTTGTCTCAGAGTCGCAGGGCCCGCTGAAGTAGGGAACGCTGTCCATCTCGGGGGGGCACTGGAAGACCTCCATGTGGTGCACGAGTTCCTCGTTGCCCTTGGTGATGATGGGCTCGTACTGCGAGGAGGCAGCCCCCTGAGCCCGGGGAACCAGCCCCCTGCCCTCCCCTCCCCAGCAGCCTCCCTCCACAGGCCTCCGTCTGCCCATCTATAAAATGGGAGGGATGATCAGGGCAATTCCAGGGGCACTTCTGGGGCTCAGGGCCATGAGGGTGGAGCCACTAGCCCAGAAGCAGACAGAAAGCCTGTAGAGACCTCCAGGGTTACGGAAATGAGATTCATACAGGCCACTTCCTGCCAAAGCAAGGACAAGACGCAGCTGTCCTTATTCATATGGGGCCATGGCCGGCCAGCTCCTGCAGCCCCAGTGGAGGCAGGGCAGCCCCGAGGTTAGAGCCTGGGCCCCGAGCACACTGTCAAGGCCATGCCCTTTCCTGCTGTGTGACTCTGGGCACTCACATAACCTCTCTGAGCGAAACTTCTAAGCCAGGCGTCCCCAAACTACGGCCCGCAGGCCGCATGCAGCCCCCTGAGGCCATTTATCCGGCCCCCCACCGCACTTCAGGAAGGGGCACCTCTTTCAATGGTGGTCAGTGAGAGGAGCACAGTATGTGGCAGCCCTCCAACGGTCTGAGGGACAGTGAACTGGCCCCTTGTGTAAAAACTCTGGGGATGCCTGTCTAAGCCATGCGCCTTCCTGCTGTGTGTCTCTGGATGCTCACATGACCTGTCTGGGCTTTGCTTCCTCTGCTGGAAACTGGGGGCTATTGCGATGGAGGAGGGCTCACTGTGCCCCTCCCCCAGGGCCAGCGGCATAGCGGACACTCGACAGCTATTGCCTTTGCTATTCTGTCTTCCTCGGGGGGGGGGGTGTTCTAGAGCAAGTGAGTTCTGACTAAAGCTGCGTTTTCGTGAAGGGGGAGGTGGCCTGACAGACGGACAGCAGGTGCAGTCCCACCGAAAGATGCAGAAGCCAAAATCTTGGTTGCTTTGGTCCAGGCAGGGAAGTGGGAGCTCAGAGGCCCCCTTCAGGGTGGGGAGTGAGCAGGGTGACAGGGAAGACAGGCCACTAACGGTTCCTGCAGGACTTCAGGCAGGTGCCTGAAACCTGCTGGTGGTAAGAGGCCCCCTGGTCCAACCAGGACCGTGGACAGCTCTCCAGGGTGAGAGTGGGAGGGGCGAGGTCAGGGGTGGGGAGGGGAGGCGGGGGGAGCAGGGACGTGTGTCAGGGAGGCAGAGCTGGGTGAGGACCTGGGTCCTAGACCCGCACGTACCATGATGATGTGGTGCCGTGAGAAGTTCTTGGGGAGCTCTTTGACATGGCACCAGTACGTGGTCTCCTGGCTGGGAATGAGGATGTTGGGGGTGTGGATCTCCATGGTGTACGTGTCTGAGGGCAATTTCGGGGTGGGGATGTCAGGCTTCAGGAGCTGCACCCTCTGCAGCCCCATCCGCAGGCCCGAGGTGTTGATGGCCTCCAGTGACTGGAACGGCTTCTCCAGGATCCCGTATACCAAGTGGACGGTGCCATCCTGCAGCCGAGACGGGGCTCAGTGGGTCGCCCGCTCAGAGGCCCCAGAAGAGCTCCTGAGTGGATGCCATGTCCCTGTCCACCCATACCTGCCAAGTGGCATACCTTGCTCTCGTCTCTGTGAGGGACCCTTAAGGCTGGCATGGCCCCAGCTGGTACTAAATCCCCGGCTGACCCGGCCCCAGGATCCCCTGTTTGCACAGGCCATCAAATACTTTTGTCTTTCTAAACACATTCCACATTCAACCCCTGACTATTGGGCCCGCTGTGAGCTAGGGCGGCCAGGACATTGGTTCCCTCCACCAACCCCAAGGTCACCAGGGACTGGGTTTGGGGGTCATTGGTCAGATCAGCAGCCCAACCTGAGGAGTCAGTGCCCTCTACAAAAGGAAGGAAATATCCTGGGGTTTGCTGACGGCCACACTGAGCTGTGGAGCCACGCTATGTTACATAGTCACCACGAGCCCGGCAGGAGGGGACCAAGCAGCCAGAGAAGGCTCCGTGGGTCTATGCGGTGCTGAAGGTCATGGGCAGACTCAGGAGGCAGGACGCTGGTGCTGGCTTCATGACACGCTATCATGAGTGGACACGGGGATCGGGTATGGAAAGTGCCTTTTGCAGCTCTCTGGGCACCGCTGGTGCAGACCTATGTGGGTGGCTAATTTGCTTTTTGAGTTTGTGGAAAGGTGGTGAGCCACCCAGTGCCGAGGATGCCCAGAGCCCCAGCAGAGGCCCGTAGACCTGGCCTGGAGCCTCTGGGCTGAGCACACACAGGCACTGGCCTCCCCTGTGAGGTTCTGGAGGGTTCTCTGCTCACCCTTGCCTCTACACCGGGAAGCCACAACCTCCGTAAGAACCTCTTCCGGCACCAGCTCTGGCCCCTGGGGACGTCCACGCCGCCCATCTCTGGGCTTCTGTTTCCTCACCTGGCAAACAGCCAGCCATTCTGTTTTCTTAGATTCAATATTTGTCTATTTGGCATCTATTAATTAGTTGCAGGGTCAAAGAGATGGCCAGAGTTGTCTGCACCTGCCCTGCCCGCCAGCATTCACGCGTGTGTGGGAATCATATTCCCAACCCTCCAGTGCATCCCAAGCCCGTATCCCTAGCCACCCCCTCCATCTGACTCTCACACCCCAGGCCAATATTGCTCCAGCCCTAAATCACCCTAGGGCCAGAAACCAGGCAGCTAGAGACCACCGAAGCCACCCAGAGCCCGCCACAATTGTCTAAATGAAGCTGCTTGCCTGTCTGGCCTTTCCCATGGAACCCCCAAGAAGCCTCAGGGCTGGGCTCTGCCCTGGCTCCTGTGTCTGCCTCCTGACCAAACTCACGGCTCCCCAGTGGCCCTGCATGGCACAGGTGCCCGTCCTCCTGGGAAATGCAGTAAATCTTTCGATGGCACTGGCCTCCTGTGTGGTCACTCAGCCTCCCTGCATGGATTAAGACCTGACCCTAACTGCCAGCCCCTGCCACTGCCACGCCAAAGCATTACTTACACAAGACAAAAGGAGTCAAGGTAAACTAGAGTTAAGAGGGTTTCGTCTTCAAGGGGAAGGTGGGTTGCTTTTCCTAACAGGTGTGAGGACTCTTAGAGCAGCATAAGGAGCCTAGGGTTTTTTCAAGGTTTTGTGGCCATGAGCTCCCAGACAGAGTTGGTCAGGACTCACAGATCGTCTAGTTCCCATGCCCATTTTACAGATGGGCAAAGTGAGGTCCAGAGGAGGCAGGGACCTGCCCTGAGCCTCACAGCAAGCTGGTGACAGAGCCGGGTTGGAAAGCCAAGTCTCCTGGGTTCCGAATCCCACCTAACACTGACAGGACCAGGAGGAGAGGGACACCTAGGAGCAAGGTCTAACCCAAAGGGAGAGGTTCCAGCATAAGCCCCGCATCTGGAAACCCCGTCCCGAGCGCCCCAGCCCTGCCACTGCCTCTGGGCCACCCTCCTAGGCGTTCTCTGATGTAGCTGGCCAGGACATGGCCCCAGACTTATCAGGACAGGAAAGGTACCATGACATTGGTGCAGGTGGCATGCCCACGCAGCCCACTCTCTCCTGGGTGCTCAGGGCCATCCTTACCTCAATGAGGTAATCCTTGGGATCGCAGGTGCCAAAGGGCCTCTTGAAAAGCAGGACCAGGCCTTCCGGAGTCCTCTGCACCTGCAGCAGCTGGTAGTCCTGCTGGGGGTCCAGGTGGATCTGCCCGTTCTGGTCACTCCAGGCATCCTGCAGAGACAAGCACCGGGCTTCAGGCACGCAGGAGCCAAGCCGGGCGGATCCACAGGGGAAGAGGGCGTCCCCTGGCAGAGCTCGGCACCCCTTGGCAGAGCTCGGCGTCCCCAGCAGACCCCGGTGTCCCCCGGCAGAGCTCAGTGTCCCCCAGCAGAGCTCAGCATTCCTGGCAGAGCTCCGTGTCCATTGCCCACCCAGCCCGGGAGGCTGGGCCTCAGTCCCTGTGTCCTGGGGTTGGGGCTCCACTCGCACCTTCTATGCCCCTTTCTGCCTGGTGACAGTGGCGTCGAGCCCCAACGGTGCTCCACTCCTCTGCAGCCAGGAGCCAGGGCTCTCGCTTTGCCAGCCAGTCACAGGCTCTATGAGCCATGGGGGTTCCCAGGCCTGGGGGTCGGGACACTGAGCTTCTTAAGAAGGTGCCCGAAGCTCCCAAGGCCTCACCAGGACTGGGAACGAGGGCCTCAGGCCAGTGCTGCTCTCAGTCAGGCAGGTGGGAGGGGTGCCGAGCCTGAGAAAGGGGAGAGTCGGGGACAGGGTGGGGCGTGAACTGGGAGGGAGAGAGAAACCAGGGCGCCACAGTAAGGTGGGGATTGCCCCCAGGTGCCCACCCTGCTCTGGCACAACTCTGAGAGCAGACACTGCTTTAGTACTTTATGTGTGTGTGTAATTTTTTATTTTTGTTTGTAGAGATACGGTCTCAGTCTCGCTATGTTGCCCAGGCTGGTCTTGAACTCCTGGCCTCAGGCGATCCTCCTGCCTAGCCCTCCTAAAGTGCTGGAATTACAAGCGTGAGCCACCACACCCAGCCTGAAGCACCACTTTAAACTCTGTACCTAGGCACTGCTCCCCTCACCCTAGTCCCGGACCTGCTTGGAGAAGGTAAACTGAGGCCCAGGGAGGAATCGTACCCACTGCATTCTAGCAGGATGCTTCCTGGCATCTGGATTGGCGTCCTCTGCCCTTCCCACCCCCATCTGCTTCCCTGGCATTGGGCCCTAAGGGGCAGGGACATGGTGGCCCCAGACCAGGTCACAGGGGAGAAGACCGCCAGGGAGACCCACTGAGAGACAGGGAAGAGGTTTCCCAGACGAACAGGCTGCTCTTCACACTCAAGCATCCCACGGGCCCTTGGCGGTAAGGACTTCCGGTTGTGTTTCTTTTTAATCTTACATTCAGGGCTAAAACATCTTCTCTTCATTTCCTTGAGAAAAAAGAAATCTGCGAAAGATGTTGCCAAATTTTCCCTAGAGAAAAAAGCCCTGCGGTGTAGCCCTGCCGGGGACACTGCCGGTTTGCTGAGAGACTCATTTTCAACAGAGGCAGAAAGTTCGCCTGTGATGTTTCAGCTGGAAATCAAGCAGGTATTAGTTGGACATATTGTTTAGGGAGGAATAACAAGGCTGACATTTGTTTTTGTAGGAATTTGTTGTGCAAATTAACCTTGCCAGGGCATGGAAAGGCAGTCACCTGGCTTCCTCTGGCTTCCCTAGCAGCCGGGAAAGGCAGGCAGGAGGACTCTGCCCCAGAGAGGAGCAAATACTCCTGTATTCAGGGTGCCTCGGGCAGAGTAACGAAGGACTCGAAACTGCCAACGAAGGGGCTCAGCTGCTCCTCCGGACGGCTGACGGCTCAGCACCAGGGCTGTCCCAGGTCTTTCTCAGCTGGCCCTGAGCCACAGAGTGTCTTTGTGCATGGGAATCCGAGCAGCCCCGTGGGTCAGAGCAGGGCTCTTCCCAGGCGGCCCCACCCACCCTACCTGGTGGCTCTAAGCCTGACCGGTGACACGGGCCAGTACCTCCTGGCTGAGTCGTGAGGATTAGAGGAGCAAGCTCAGCTCCAGAAACAGCAGCCACTGTCTGCCCTCACAAAACTCAAAAAGGCAGAGAGGGACTGCCTGCCCTACCACCCCACGGTGACACCAAGGAACACAGCTGGGGCCGGTCGCCCCACACAGACTCTGCTCCGCTGGCTCCAGCTCCGCGCTCACAGATAAAGCAAGCACCTCCTGACTTGGGACATAGAACTCTGTTGGCCCTCCGTTGTCTGTTTCTGTGGAGAGAGTTGGGTTTCATCCACAAAGAGGCCCTGGTGGCCAGTCCCATATTGGAAGGAAGGAGGGAGCGGACACATGGCAGGCAGTGGGCTCGCACCCTTCGGGGACCCCTGCGTGGAAGGGCCTAAAGTCCTCTCCAGTTTGAAGGGAAACTTTTCCCCTTTCTCCACCCTGTGGGACAAAAGTGGAGGTAAATTTGGAAGGAAGGGAGTCAGAGCCCATCCCAGCAGTTCCGGCTGAGTTCTGTGGGCTTTGCTCCGTGCCTGTGGGTGGGGGCAGCGTGTCTGTCCTGCTCAGTAGGTCCACGGGTACAAGCACAGTGGGTCGGGCTGCATCCCATGGGTGCACAGGCGTCATGCTGTGCCCGGCCATGAGCCACCACCTGGCCCACGTCGGTGGGCATGTGTGCTCTGGGGACGTGGTACTGGGCATTGTTTATAGGACCAGGGGTCGTGGGATCTGTGCTCACGCACGTTTGGGGTGCGGAGTGGCAGGAGCCTGTGTGGTGTGTGCGTCCTCTGTACGTAGTTCCGTTCCCTGGGATTGCTGGGTCCCGTGATCTGGGGTGGGCAGTCAGGGACCGTGGAAAGCATGTCTTTCCTATTTTATCCTCAAATTGACATCCCCATGATGCCCAAACTCGGGTGCAGACCTGGCTCAGAGCGGAGTCAACTCAAACACTGAGTGGTGGCAGAAAACTTTCTGGGCTAAGGAGCGTGAGTGTAGAAAGACAGCCAGCTGGGGTACCAGGTCGGGAAAGTTCTGGAGATCTAGCAGGGAGGAGAGACTTACCGCAAAATAGGCAGTGTCCCCGTCGGTCCAGAGCACCACCAGGTCCGCGTTCTCGGGCTTGCCGCGGTCAGACATCCCAAACAGGACCCCAGCCTCAAGCCGCCGCACCAGGAGCTGGAAGTCAATGGCCTCCTGGGCATAGCTGACGTTCCATGAGAGCTCCAGGGACCCCTCGGGGTCCAGAAGAATGTGGTAGGGCAGGCGGCTCTCAGTGGGCGCAGAGCCCTGCAGTGCGGCCACCAGGATGACCAGGAAGACGGCCACTGCTGTGCCGTACATGGAGGCCGCCTCCCGCATGCTGGGGCCGGGCAGGCTGGCCCAGTGACAGCAACGACCAGGGGCCTGCATGGCTGGGGTGAGCTCTCCGGTCCCACTTTGCCATTTATGCCCCAGTCCCGCATGGGGTGGGTCCAGGCAGCAAGCGTAATCACATTTGTCTGGTGGCCAATTCAATTGTCCCTCCCACAAGCCTTCGCCCCAGGCCAAGCGCTCTGCCTGCTGTCCTCCGCTAATTAGCGCTAATGATACATGGACATTGTCAGTGGGGGTTGAAGCAGACAGGCGGATGCTGTCCCTTCTGAGATGGCCCTGAAGAACTGTCCCAAAAGCAGATCCCCCCTGCAGCCAAGAAGCCTTTCAGGTGCCCCCTAGCCCGGAACCGGCTGACTGCCTCACAGGACGTCTGGTCCAGTCCCCAGTGGGGTGGTGTCTGAGCCACCTCCACCCACTGAGCAGCAGGCTGAGGTCGGAGGGGCTGCTCCAGGCTGACAGCGAAGGATGGACCTACAGCCACTGCGGGCCTGGCCCGGCGAGCAGAGCCATTTGTACAGTACTGGCGGGTGGGCCCATTTCGGACCAAAAATAAGACAATCTCCAAATAGTCCCTGTGTTTAGACACTCTCTCCGCGGCCTGCTGTTCCCACTTTTGTCTCCTCTCAATTTTCCCACAGTCTCCAGCTGGCACCACGGCTGCTCCAGAAGGCGTGAGAGCGTTGCAGGGGGTGGGGGACACGGGCGTGGGGTGCATCGCTGGGGACAGATGGAACCGGAGGTGCACAGGGGATAGGCAGGCTGCTGGGTGCACTCCTGGGGGTGACTACCTTGAAGGAAAAGGGGTGAGTGACGGGTCTGCTCCCCTGTCTCCCAAACCCACAGCTTCCTCTTGCCCAGAGCAGATCTGGCCCGAATCTGAACCCTCTCACGGCAGCCGACCCCAGCACTGCTTCTCCCACACCTGGGCAGGACTTTTGCCATCATCCACCCATGGGCCTGAGGGCCAGTCTCACGGCACCACTCCCTCCTGCCCTCTCCTGCAGCGGACTGCCGCCTCTAGGACATTCTGCCCGATCCAGCTCCACCCCGCCAGGCTGGGTTGATAGACCGTTCCAGCTGAACCAGAAGCCTCCTCCCTTCCCTCCTCCCTCCCTTCCTTCTTTTTTTCTCTTGTTTCTCCTCTTTAGAGAAACCCAGAGTCTAGCCTTAGGGGCACATTAATGTCACAGGCTGGCGTCGACATTTCAGCCCTCAGATATCCGTGACAGCAGGTCCGGAGACCGGTTCAGCTCTGAGTTCTGTGCTGTGGAAAGGAATGACTGTGTCTTTGCATGACCATGAAACTTCGAGAAATTGCCAGCCTTCCCCTGGCCCTGGCAGGTGGTGCCTCTCTGCCCCACAGTGGCCAGGCCATCCTGCAAAGTGCAGGCCATGAGCCCCTCCCCTCTGACTGCACCCAGAGGGGCCCGTTCACCCCCATCTGCAGCCCAGGCAGGTGACGACCAAGTCCATGAGCATCTCTGCAACAGAGTGTGGCACTGGCGTGAAACTGACTCCCAGGCCGGGGGAAGGACACTCTTGGGAGTTCTCTGCCGAGCCCCCGGAAGGGTCTCAGCCTCTGAAGGCCTGGCTTTCCCATCAGGACGGGCCACTTCCCTCACCTGAGAGCACCTCGCCTCCGTGACTCAGATTATTTCCGAAACCTCTTCGCCTGTGCCACGTGAGCAGGTGTCTGGCATTGAGATAACAGCGCATCCTGGACATTCGCTCCTGGGGTCGGGGAGTGGCCATAGCCAGCCAGTGACATGAAGAGCCTCGAGGGTGAGCAGGCGCTGTGTTTCCAGCACGGGATGACTAAAGCCAGCAGAGGCGGAGGTAGGGGCTGGGGGCTCCATAGCACACCCAGCTCAGCGGTGAGTCCTCCCAGTGGCTCCAGCCAGACAACAGGCTGAGCGAGCACCAGTTGGGGCCTGTGTTGTGGGGAGGGGATGCCTCTCTCCCCTCTGGAGTAGCGAGGCTCCAGGCATTCCCCCTGCTCCTCCAGGGCTCTGGGGTCACATCCTGCTCCGCCCTCCTGAATACGCAGCTGGCGTCCTCAGAGAAGCACTTTCCAGCCCAGCGCCTCCTCCCCATCTGCAGACGGAGGAAGTTGGGTGACAAGGACAATTGATCCCTCCAGCTTCCTTCAACCCAGCGGTTCTGGGGAGTGAGAGGCAGCGAGGCCTGGGAGCCAGAGCCTCCGAAGCTGCCAGCCCTCAAGCGGCTCACCACCCCTCCCAGCCTCACTTCTCTCCTGGATATGTGAGAGACCCACAGCCGCTGGGAGCTCCAGGGAGGGACAGCAGGTGCGGTCTCGTCCACAGCAGTGTTATGCACACATGTTTATTTTTAACAGGAATCAAAAGATATTTTCTTTATCCAACTCAAAACCAGCTTTCCTCTCGCATGTGACAGAAATGATTCAGCTGATTCTGAAATGATGATGACCAAGCCCGAAGGAGACGCAGGAGACACAAGTCAGGCTGCACCAGGGCTTGCCCTGCTTTGTCCCCTCCATCCTGGCCGGCCTTGGGTGGCTGGGTGTGCGATCAGCCCTGTCTCAGACACAGGAGAGGCAGCCTCAGACAGGCCACACAGCAAACGCGCCTGAGCCCACACAGCCCCCAGCGGCACAGAGCAGGCCAGTGCCCAGGTCAGGGACCCCCAAAGAGGATGCCCTGAGCTGGAGGGGGCTGTACACCTTGGCAGCCAAGGTCAGAAAAATTCCACTGGAGTCAGGAGGAAGGGACGCTCTGATAAGAAATGCAACCACAGAGAAAATCTGCGGAGGCTGGGGCCGGGCGGGAGGGAGCGGATCCAATCGGATGGCCTGTGGCTATGCCCTTCCTTGAATTAATGGATTTTAAAAGGGAGCAATCCGACCCCAGGGTAAGGAAGCAGCAGTCAGCTCGCCTCCTGCCCTCACCCTCCTCGGAGGTGACATCTGCCTGCCAGGTGCTCTCTCAGGTGGGCACAGGCCTCCCTGTGGTGCCCTAAGGGGGCCTTCCTCCCTGCTCCCACCCCGGCTGGCCCTGCTCTGGTGTCTGGGTGCACCTTGCCCTCCAGAGGCATGGGTGGGGGTGGGGGAGGCTGGGGTGGCCCAGGGTGTCACGGCCACCGTGTCAGGAAATAAGCCACATTCCTGCTACTCAGCCCCTGGCTTCCCTCCAAGGCGCATCGACGGCTGACCTTGTTTAGAACCAATTTCAGCGTTTTAATAAGCCCTTTGCTTTCCCGAATCTCTCTGATGCCATCGGCTCTGCAGGCTGTAATTCCCCATCGCCCCTGCCACGTGAGGCTGGCTCCCACTGAGGTCCCAACCTGGGGCAGTGGGAGCCCTGAGTGGAGCGACTGGGGCGCAGACCGGAGCTGGCTGGGTGAACAGGCCAGGCCACTCCCCAGCGACAAGGGGGCCTGGCCATGGGATGGCACTATCCTTCACCTGTGGCTCAGGCTCTTAGGGACCTCCTGTCGGCAGGAAAAATTAAACTATCAAGCTGATGGCAGTGCCTAGACCTGGCTTGTGATGGGACGGATTGGGAGCTGTGGGGAGATGGTGACTCTGTCCACCACGGAGGCCACTCTAGGGTGGCACTGTCCTCTTGGGGAACGTCCTCTTACATCCGTCCTCGTCCTGGGCATGGGGCAGTGGTGTGAAAGTTAAGCAGCACATTCTGGGCTGGGCACGGTGGCTCACACTTATAATCCCAGGAATTTGGGAGGCAGAGCGGGGAGGATGGCTTGAACCCAGGAGTTCAAGACCAACCTGGGCAACAGCATGAACCAGTCTCTATCAAAATAAAAGTAAAAACAAATTAGTCAGGTTTGGTGGCGCAAGGCTATACTCTCAGCTACTCAGGAGGCTGAGGCAGGAGGATCGCTTGAGCCCGGGACCAGCCCTGGCACCGACCTCTGGCTGCACGGCCGGCACCAGCACTCGGGGCTGCTGGTCTTGCCCCCCACGGGCTCCCACCAGCCAGGCCTCCTTTTCCTGAGGCTGCAGCTCGTCTGTCAGTGAGCCCAGTCACCTCGGAGATCCCCAGGTTGACCTACTGTTGACCAAGAATGGACCGACGCAGTGAGGCATTGACAGACAGCCCTGCTTGCCCTCACCCGCATCCATCTCGGGGGCTGCTGCACCCACCGACATCACAGGATCTAAAGGCAGGGCTCTGGCCCGGGGGGCTCTGGGAGACTGTGAGAATCCACCTTCCTCCCCGGAATCTCGCCAAGCCTCCGGCACATGGTGTGATAGAGGGATGCCTCCCCGTGGCCACATCCAAATCCCTGCAAGTCGGGTAGGCTGCCTGGGGAAGGGACTTTCGGTGTCATGACCTGGAGGTGGGAGGTGGGCCTGGATGGACCGGGTGGGCCCCATGTCATCACAAAGGTCCTACATATGAAAGGGAGGAGGAGATGCAAGGGTGGGGTTCGAGGAGAGGAGGCTGCTTCCAAGACGGAGCAGGGCCCGTGAGCCACGGGATGTGGAGGCCTTTGGAAGCTGGAAAAGGTGGAAACAGATTCCTCCCAGAGTCCCCAGAATGAGCCAGCCCTGCAGACACCTTGATTTTCGAGCTTCTGACCTCCAGAACCGTCAAATAAAACAGTCACGTAGTTTTAAGCTGCAGAGTTTTTGGTCATATGTTACAGCGGCCACAGGAAATGTGAGCACAGGGTGAGCAGCCTCCTCTCCTGGCCTCTGCTGGTGCCGTCACGCTCTGGCGGGGCCCCCAAGTGCCGCAGCTCAGCTCCTTTAGGTCAGAGGCTGTGTTCCCTTCTTTCTGTCCTGTCCTTTAAGTTATGGTTTCCATTCTGAAAGCAGACGCTGTGGCAAGGGTCTGGATGTGAGCAGGTTGTGTGGAAGGGGAGCTCAGAGCGTGCAGAGAGGGCTGGGCAGGGGAGCGAGAACACTCATGAAGCATACCTTCACGATCAGTTTCCACCAAGGGCAGTGGGGACTCAGTCCCAAGGGGACCCTGGAGAGACCACGGAACACCCCAAAACTGTCACATCGAAGTGTGAAGAAGCCGGGACTCTCACCTTCCCACCCCTGCCCCTCACTGAGAGAAGGATGCTCCTGGAACAT